GCTAATATAAGGCCCCTTCAACACCTCCACGAATAAACATCAAAACCCATTATCATAAAATTCACAACCTGAATATGTATCTAAATATATAGTTAACTATTTGGTGTAACATAGTCGACTATTAATTTATATCCTCCATAACATAGTCAACTACGCAAACAAACAGAACATAACACCTCACCTGTAGTTATACTTTCGTCCAGCATTGGCGGTGCGTCCCTCAGAGTGCCCCCTTTGTTGGAAAACATGGAATTCAACGCCTCGGCTGCACAATTTTGCAATACACATGGCCAACGCTTCTCTCCAATTAAATCCTCTTCCATGTCTGTATCCTCACCAGAATCATTTAGATCCAAAGTACAAGGTCATTTGTGAGAACACTCGCCAACTTCTCTTCTCACTGGAATTGGATCCTCAGTTGCATTTTCTTTCTCCCCATCAGAGTCCATCAAAGCGAAGTTGTGCCAATCACCATCATTGGAATCACTCTCACCGGAAAAAACTTCATCATGCCTCCCTCTTCCAAAGTGATAGCCTTACCTTTCGCATTTCCCACCCTTCCCTCTGCCCCTGTTCCTATATAAAAACGTTCATATATAAAGACGCTCACAAATAAGTTTTGAAGAAACCACAGACATATTAAATCACAATAGCCAACTACCAACATTATTGACTACATATAATCCACTTAATTTTACAATGGTTAGCTATAAACATTGGATAGTCTACACTCTAGCAAAACAACAACCAGAATTCACAACTACTTTACATAGTGAGCTATGTTAAATAAATGAAGTCTTAATGCAAGTACATGATATTTGCTATAGTCAACTACAATGACCCTGCGATATATTCCACTATAATTCAATTGAGTAGTTAGCTTTACTATACTTACCACGGTCTGGACCGAAACCAATTTTATCACCAAATCCAGGCACTTCGTCAACTGCTTCCACCGTCACATACAAGGTAATTTTCTCAATGTAACCACAAATCGCCTCGAAAACATTCACATCGTCATCACCAGTTATCGATGCTGGAGGTGTAGTCCCACCATCATCCATCACCATCGATACTAGGCATCGGTAGGAAAGCTTCACAGATTTGGTTGAAAAAATCTGGAACTTTTCCCTCACTAGGCCAACGAGCTCTTCAAATCGCACACTAGAACGGAGCAAAACACACTTGCAACGCTCCTCTTGCTTAGTCCTGAACTCCCAATCACCACTCACCAAATGAACCCAATCGCCCAACATGACAACAACCATCAATCCTCTCGGCAACTGCAATACATAGTGAACTATTTCAGTAATTATTTTAGCTAACTACAACAATCCAAAAACAAAACAAAAATTAGTCGCCTACACTAACCTCTCCCTGTTTTGCAGATCCTTCGACAACCATCTTCTCAATCGTATGAACCATCACCACTTTCGTCCTCCTTCTCCTCAACTTTGATGTATAGCCGACATGATTTTGCACATTATAAGCATACACGATTTCCATTTTATACCAAACGAGAGG